ATGAGACTGGATCACTTTCAGTCATCATCATCATTATATTCATATTTTTTTTCTTCAGAAAAACTTTCTCTAGTTACATAATCTACCATCTATCTTGGTGCTCTCCTTGCTCATCCACCCCTCCCTTGAGATAAATCAGGTGGAATACTGTCTAGATTGTTTTGACCTCCGTCGTCTGCATCTTCATCACCGTCGTGATTATTCTCTCCTTTAGCGTCCTCTTCATCGTCACAATTTAGTTCATCTTGCTGGATCTCCAACTCAGTGTTGCTTCAGTCCCAGCTTTCGTCTTCTTCAAACATCACGTCTCGACTAATAATGATAGTTTTTGAGATTGGATCATATAGCCTCCATGCCTTAGATTAGGGCACTTATGCCGTTTAGCGCAATATTTTACTCACCATTGTACTATGCTCCACCACTTCTCTATTGGACTTCATTGCGGTGACCACAGCCAAGGTTCATCCCAAAAATCTATTTACCTTTTCACCTTCTTTAATGGTAAGCAATTTGAACTCCCTACATAAAGCTTGAAGTTGTGCCCTCTTGACTCTCGTGGATCCTTGATATTTCTGTTTCATTGAAATTCAAATAGTCCTTGATGTCCCTTTGTCAAGAATTGTTTCCAGAATCTCCCTATCAATTGCCTGGACTAGAAAATTCTTGACCTTCAAATCCTTGAGTTTGGCCTCCTCCACAGCTTTTCTCTAAGCCTCACTGCCTGGTCCTGAACCAATTGCTGGTATGAGAATGTCTTCTTCCACCAGACTCCACAGCTCCTTGCTTCTAAGAAAAATCTCCATGGTCATTGACCAAAAATCATAATGGCCATCAAACTTAGGAATAAATGGCTGGACAAATTTTTCAGAGGTTGACATTGTTTTGGTTTTGTAATAATGAACGAAGGTATTACTCTCACTAGATTGACAATGAGATTCTAATGACTGCTATATGGAAACACACACACTCTCTCACTAGGTTATCAAGCCCCTTGCGAAGCTCTGATACCAATTGTCAATTTCCTATAACTATTTGATAGAGGAAAGCTAAATATATAGAGAAATTGCATATATTTTTTATTGAATCTTCAAAGAACAGAGACTATATATAGTCGTTTTTAAACGTTAAACTGCACCGGATCACATTTACATGCTTAGAATGTGATCCCTACATTATAGGAGCTAAGACTTATTCTTCCTAAAAACTAAGAACACAACTGCAAATAGAAACAGACTAAAAAAATAAAATAAAGAAGCAGAACATATCTAAACTTAATATAGTTAGCTTTTACTTGAAAAAATATTAGAAAAAAGTAATTCCTAATTTATCTTAATTTTTATTTATAGCAAAGATAGTTTGTGGCTGGTTAACTATTGAAATTTGTATTTCACCGTCACAATGTCAACAATAATAATAATATATAGAATCATTGGTTATACAAGCAAAGAAAGTTAAAAATCATTCTTTGGAATAAGAGGTGAAATTTAATAAAAATAAAAATAATATATTATTAAAAAGATAAAATAAAAGGGCAATATTTTAAATAAATAAATTATGTTAAGATAATATTTATAATTATTTTTTAATGTGTGTCGAATGATACGTGTTAAAAAATATAAAATAATTTTTTAATTAGAAATAAAAGTATTTATTATTTTAAAGTTATAAAAAATTTATATAATTTTTTATGTTAATTTACAGAATTTAGTAGGATATAATTAATGCTTCTTAACATATATATCAAGATACATTATAAAAAACGGTATTTATAATAACTATGAAAAATTTAAACTAACTAAAAATATTTTTATTTTTATTTTTATTTTTATTTTTTTTGAAAAAACGGAACGTTCCCTACTCTCCTACTTTGAAATTGAGCGTGTCTCCGGTAAGTATTGGGCAGGAGAGGAAAAGATATATTTATTTTGTGGGTCTATAATTAGTATAATTAGGAAAGAGGACCTTTTATTCCCAATTTGGGAGGAACACGGTTCCATTCCCTTCCCTTCCCTTCCCTCCCCTCCATAGTACCATCGTTCCATTCCCTCCTCTGCCATTCAAATACACACATGGCCTGGGGACAAATCTCAGTTGATTAATTTGAGAAATTTCCCCCCTAATGATAATTAGTTAGTAGCATAGTTTTCTTCTTGTTTTTAACTTGAGGACGGGAATCAATAGCTTGAACTCACTTTAAAAGCTATTAATTATGCTTGCCAATCACAGGCTGTCTCTAGAGCCTTAGTAGTTATGTCCGAGTTTAGGTGATAGCGTAACAGGACAAGTCGACCAACTTCAAACATCAATATTTTCATTGCATGATGAATGTGCAAACCCTAACAAGCCATGTGAATATTATTATCTACCCAGGGCCCATCCCACGGACATAAGGGTCACTATCCCTTTGATGACCAAGATATGCTCTGTTTGCTTTTAATTTTTTCCCTCAATTTTCCTCTCATAAGCAATTACAAGCGGTAGGTCTGTGCTTTTATTTTGTTTTATTTTTCACTTCATTTTCCACCCACACACCAAAGACTAGAGCCAGCAAGGTATATAAATTCATTTCATGGTACTTTCTAATGTTTCCCAGTTGAGAAAAACACCAAATTTGTCTTCTTATATATAAACCACTACAAACTGAGTAAATGCTTTTCACCTATTATTTGGTACATGAATTAAGTAGTGATATAATATTCATGTACAAGATGGTTAAAGTGAATCCGATTTCAATGATTAATATGATATATAAGATTATAATTAACCGTAAATTAGTTTAAAAAGCTATTTAATAATATAAGGTGACACTTGGAATAAGAAAAGTGTAAACTTTTTGAAGAAAGTGGAAGGAAAAAAAAAAAACATAACATTATTGCGAGAGTACGCGCAAAACAAATTACCCCAAGAAAAGATGTTTTTAAACGCGTTATAATATAATAATATTATATACAAGCCAACTTTTAATTTTCAGTTATTTAAACAACGAAATAATTTACTCTCCATTTAGTAGGATGGGCGAAAAGTGAGGAAATAAAAAAGTAAATATAAATTGAAGAAAAAAATAAAAGAAAGAAAAACTTTAAATTTTTGTTTCTATTATTTTCCCCTTTCTTTTAATTTTCCTTTCAACTAAAAATAACATATTTTTCGGTACTCTTTTTTCTTTCAAACCACGAGAAAATAGCAACGGCACTAGCACATTATTATCGTCTATGCAAACAGTTACTAGATGCGACTTCTCCTTTTCCCTAATTCGAAGGAAACGTTGCTTTATTCTATTCATTTCCCCCAGGTAATAAACAAAGGAACAAAGATGGACTACTCTCTGCCACGGAAAGTGGAAAGTTTCTCTGTAGAAGAGTTTGCCATAAAAGCTAGAAGATCTTGTGCGAATTATATTCCCCAAAGAAACTTGGCAAGAAGTAAGCATTGATCCCAGTTTGGGTTGTTGATTCAATACGCATCCAGAGGCCAGATGCTTCTGGCAACTTTGGGGTCAATTACACGGCTAGAAGAATGTTCACGCTGGGCTTTTAAATGTCTGGCGACGAATAGTAGTTTCATCTGGGTTGGCGACAGTGGCTAACTTGTATGAGAATAGTTTCGGCGGTCAATAACACAGGAAGGGAAACAAATGCTAAATGTGTAACACGGTAGAAGAGAAATCACACTTAATGGAAGATTTTCCTTTTTGAACTGAGAAGTGTACTTATAATAGTTACTGATTAGTACTATACATTTATCTATATAGTTTATTATATGGGTGAGTATTTTTTCATAATGTTAACTGTAAACTATATTTTAATAGCTAAGGTGTCCTCTTATTTGGGATCCTCCTGGGAATAAAACTATAGAAGAAAAAGCAATAGCTGTGGGAAATAGTCAGATACAAATGTGAGATGACCAACAAGGATTTATTGCAGACACGCAATGCCTTGGAAAAGAAGAGAACTCGTGGCTGTAGTCAAGCCTAACAGTTTTAATGTTCACGATCCAATTTGAATTCAAATCTCGAAACTACGACGATTTGCACATGGAGGGGGTACTCCTTAAAGCAATATATATGTTTAAATTAAATAGAAAAAAGGACTTCATTAAATAGATTGACCCCTGTATGTTCTCCTTAATGGTTCTTGGCATATCTATTGACACCCCACCAACTACCATGATCTGAATCGGGACCGCTATACTCTGATGGTCTCCATGGCGATTAAGACCATTTCAAACTGTAGGCATGGTCTTTGACGACACCATAATTAATTACACGTCTAAATCATTCAGCAAGAAGCGTTTATAATTATATTTTTTTAGAATGATATTTTCCTGTTCCCTGCACCCTCTCCACTTGTGTTTCATTCAAGCATGCACGTTTTCGAACTCGACGCTCTAATTGTATACTACAGTTAGATCCTCTCAAAGACACAGAATAGAAAGAAAATGCTAAAACAAAACCTACACCAATGAACTGAAGCGGGAGCTCTCAAACAATGCAGGCATGTACAGAACAAATTAGATTGATTATCCCTATCCAGGGTGGAATGAAAAGAAAGTCATGGGGAAGGAGGAGAATTTATATCATATTACATATTTCTTAAATGAAGGACAATATTAATGCGGATTGATTTTCGCCGGGGCAAGTGAAGAAAAGCATTTCAATAAAAAAAACAGGTTCAAGACACTGATATAAGAGAAATAAATTATCTAGATTCAGAAAATTAATACAAGGGAAATGTTCATAAATTATACTAATAAATTGAAAAGCAAAAAAAAAAAAAAAACAAAATTTGTAGGAAAAAGAAGTATGATATAAAAGAGGCAATAATAATAAACCCCACAAATAACCAGCTACCGTCTTTGCAGCCATGAATTATGCTCTCCAATTCATCCCTATACATACATTTTTCTCTGCAACCTACTCTTTCTCTACCATTTTTATTTTCACAACTGAAATATTCATAATAATTGAAATCAAAATGGAGAGACTTTCTCCTCTACCCCGCTTTGCTGCAACCTACTCTGTTTCTTTTGATGATAAATAATAATAAAAATAAAGAACAAACGCTGCCTTGCACAAATAATGTCATTCTCGTGTAATACTTTTCCTTGATAAGCGACGAGAGTCGCATGATACAGTAGAAAGGGCCGCAATAATAAAAGCGTGACTCTTCACTCTTGTAGTTCGTAGAGGAAAAGGTCAGAGGAGAAAAACTCTCAAAAGAATCAGTAGTAAGGTGGCGGTGGAGGCGATGCGTATGGGACTCCAAAGATAGGTGGCAACGGCCCTTCATATACTGGGGCAGGTGGCGGGTTCCAGTATACGACGGGTGGAGGCGGAGATGCAGATGGCGGTGTTTCACAAGGAGGCGGGGATCCTGGCGGCGGAGAAGGGTAAACTGGAGGCGGAGGCGGCGAACCGTAGTGAACGGGAGGTGGCGGTGGCGAACCGTAATGAACGGGGGCTGGCGGTGGTGAACTGTAATGAACCGGAGGAGGTGGCGGCGATGGGGGAGTATACTGAACCGGTGGAGGTGAAGAAACATATACCGGTGGTGGTGGGTAAGGTGTGGGAGAAGGTGTTGGTTCTATACAAGGTGGTGGAGATGGAGGTGGTGGTGAAAGGACATGTGGCGGAGGCGGTGGAGACAAATAAGGATAAACAGGTGGAGGCGGTGAGTGAGGTGGTGGTGGTGTGTTATAGTTATGTGAAGGTGGTGGTGGAGAGAACAAAGGAGCATGTGGCGGCTCTGAATTTGGTGGAGGCGGCGGCGAAGACCGGACACAATACGGTGGCGTTGGAGTAGGGGAAGGTGGAGACATAGATGGTGGACTTGGTGGAGTAGATGATGGAGGCGGCAATTGGGAAGGCGGAGGAGGTTGTGGAGTGTTAACAGGTGGTGGAGCGTACGGAGGAGGAGGTGAATGTGGAGTGTAAACAGGTGGTGACGGTGAATGAGAGTACGGTGGAGGAGGAGAATGTGGAGTAGAACCAGATGGTGGAGGTGAAGGTGCGACCGCTGGCGGTGGCGAAGGAGGTGTAGGCACAACTCCAGGTGATGGAGGCGAAGGCACCACTCCTGGCGGTGGCGAAGGAGGTGCAGGCACAACTCCAGGTGATGGAGGCGAAGGCACCACTCCTGGCGGTGGCGAATGAGGTGTCGGCGCTACACCAGGTGACGGAGGTGAAGGTGCCACTGTCGGCGGTGGCGAGGGAACCACCACTACAGGAGGGGAAGGAACAAAAGGTTTGCATCCAAAGGAGTTACAATCCACTGGCTTAGACAAGAACGACTTACATTGCGCCGGAGGCCTCTGCAACGGCCTCGCCGGCAAGCAGTTCCTCCGGTCGTCAAACGCCGGCAAGGCGAGACATGCCGGAGGCTCACCGGTGAAGAAGTTATCAGAATATGTGAAGTTCTGAAGCTTAGGCAACATGCAAATACTAGCAGGAATTTTACCAGAGAGTAAATTGCTTGCCACGTTGAGCTGCTCCAAGCTCACAGCATTTCCAATGGCATCCGGCAAGGGACCAAGAAGCTGGTTGATGCTGACGTCGAACACCGTTAGGTTCTTCAGCAACCCTATCTCCGAAGGCAAGCACGATCGGAACTGGTTGTTCATGAGAATGATCTCGTTTAGGTTAGACATGTTCCCCAAGCTCGCCGGAATGCATCCATGGAACCTGTTGTTGGCGAGAACGATGACGGAGACCGGCGAGTTACCGAAGTTATCGGGAATATTGAAGACGAAACGGTTGTCGTTTATGAAAATGGCGTCCAGATCCTTGTCGAATAACTCCCTAGGTACAGTACCTTCGAATTCGTTGAACCTGAGATCCAAGAACTTGAGCATGGGAAGCCGAAGAACCACTTCCGGGAAATTCCCTGCGAACCTGTTGTTACTGAGATCCAACTCGAAGAGTAGTTTCAACCTTTCAAACTTGTGAGGCACGGTGCCGCAGAATCTGTTGGAGTTAATGTGGAAGAGTGCAAGATCTACCAAAAGACCAAGCTCTTCAGGTAAATAACCGGCAATGTCACCGTGGTTAAGATCAATGCCAGCCACGGTGCGGATCTTGGGGTTATCAAGCGCATGTGCACAATAAACTCCGTTGTAGTTACACACGTTGGATCCGACCCAATTGGCTGTTTGGTTCAGAGGATCAGACAAAATGGCTTGCTTCCAAGCTTGCAAGGCTATATAAGCGTTTCTGATGCGGTCGTTTTCGAAAACAAGGGAGGGGTCTATGGTTACATTCTCTCCTCTGTCGCCGAACTCGTCTCTGTAGGAGAGAAGTTGGCGTTGGCTGATGTACATGGCTTGGGCGTCGGTGAGGGCTCCATTGGCTAGAGTGGAGGCTGAGACTGCGAGGGAGAAGGAGAGTGTGAGAAACGATGCAACGAGGAGTGTAAGGTTGGTGGGATAATCTTCCTTCTTCATTTTACATTAGGCATTTGACACACCGAGTGCCACCTTTTTTGTTTTCTTTTGGCACTCGCTCTTTGGTGAGAATGGTTTGTTTTAGCAGATCTGAGGAATATGCAGGTGTGGAGGATGGTGGCTGTGAAAGGGTTTATTCTAGGGATTTTGGTGCTGAGAGCTTCTTCTATATGACATGTAGAGAGAGAATGTGTGAAATAATTCATCAAGGGGACAGCTATACCACAGCTCAAAGCCCACCAGATTCTCTCTCACATTTATTTTGTTTTTTAAACAAAGATAATAATATAGATTTCTTTCTCGGTTATTATTATTATTACAGTAGCATCGCAAAACCTAAGGAGTTTATTCGGAGTCTGGGATGGAATTCGTAGACGCGTAGCCTGCCAACCCGCCCGTTACTCATAATGTTATTAATATTAATTATGATTCGGAGTTATTATAAGGTCCAATGCCTTACTTGTTAGACAAATTTTCTAATTTCAAACAGGGTTAACTTATAATTAGAAACATGTTAGCATGATTGAGGATTTTGGAAATAAATAAGAGATAGTCGGTGGCGAATTCAGAGAGTAATCCAATTTGTTTAAATAAATTTAATTATGGAATTTATGTTTGGTGGTTGAACTCACCAGACGTTGGAGTTTTGTTAGGGTGTGTTAGTGTGCATTGCTACACGTTGGTGGTTCTTTCTCTCGTGGACTTTTTCTTTGGCAATGCCTACATTCTTGTAAAAAAGTTGAAGCCGGACTTCTGATTCTAATTCTGTTACCCATCCCACCCGTCCTTTTTCCTTTGACATGTACAAAAGATACATTAGCTGCACCGTTATCAAATTAATTTCAGTCTAACACTAGTTTTGTTAAATGTAAGTGACTAAAATTGTTGATCATATTGCTATTAGCATTGTATATTATATTATATTATATTGAGCCAGGTGTATCATTGTGAGGAACAAAGACAAATCCTTGTCATTTCCAAGAGAGAGTGCAACCTTTCTATCAAAATTAGTATTGAAGAAACAAATTTGAACGCTTTTTAACTAGTATTTTTTCCCTTCTTATAACAGTCGACTTTGTTATTGCTTTATTTTATTTAAAATTTATTACTTTTTGTAGTAAATAGTTTTTAATTAACTAATGATCTGACACAAAACTCAAAAGATATGTGTCGATAAATGGAAAAGGATGTGACTCTATTTACAGATAAATCATCTCATTGCAAGGTTCAATTTTATTATATAACGGTCGATATCTTAATATTATTTATATATATAAATTTTTTAACATTCTGATAAAATTCCTTTAAATTGGAATAATTTTATAGCACCATTTTTCTTGCCACATATCTAACATGAGACTAGAAATAAAAATATTTAATTAGTGATTGATATTTGTTAATCAATATGTTAAAAATACTGATAAATAAATCAACACATCAATAAACCATCAGTTAATACACTACTAGTCACGACCAAACTCTATAAATAATTTTTTATAATTTTATAATTATTTAACCAATATCTTAAAATTATTAATTCATACTTACCTTATTTTATAAAGTTAACTCTTAATAGATACTTTATTATTATTCAACAATATCACTGTTTATTTATGTGTATATATATTATTATAAGCATGTAATTATGATATACAAGGTAAACAAAGGGTTTTTTACATAAACAAATTAAAAAGTTTATTATTTTCTAAATATCTTGAAATTTTTTTTAAGTAAATGTCCTAAAAGTATATTATAACAAAAGTTAATTTAAATCAACTTTTGTTTTTGTTTTAAAAAATTTTACACAAAAATTGATTTAAATCGACTTCTATTATAAGTTTAATTTTTTTTATATAGAAGTCGATTTAAATTGACTTCCATTTTGTTTTAAAATTTTTTATATAAAAGTCGATTTAAATTAACTTTCATTATAGGTTTAATTTTTTTTACATATAAGTCAATTTAAATCGATTTTCATTCTGCTTTTAAAATTTTTTTACACAAAAGTTGATTTAAATTGACTTACATTCTGTTTTAAAATTTTTTATATAAAAATTAATTTAATTTAACTTTCATTCTTGTTTCAAAATTTGTTTACATAGGAGTTAATTTAAATTTACTTTTACTCACACTTGAATATATTTTAGAAAGAATTCTATTATAATCAATTTTATAATGCATAATTAAAGTTGACTTAGATAAATTTCATTCTCTATATGAAACAAGTTTAATAGAAATGTCCGCCAACATGTCACACTAGTGTTTTTTTGTGATATTCAATAGTTATCATACAATCAAATTAGCTCTAGAAGTTACAAGGAATTAGTGACATCCCTTCAATATATCATGTATATTGTGTGTAGCACATTATGTCATTGTGTCAAAATTTGTTGGAAGGTTTACGAATACAGAGGTGCAAAATAATTGTTAATGAATGTTATCATTTCACTCTAATTCTCACATTTAATTTCAAAATTCTCTCATCTTCAAATAACAAATTTTTATTTATTTATAATAGACTTCTTTTTAATTTATACATTACAAAATCAACTATAATCGACTTTTTTCTAAAAGATATTTATGTGTGAGTGAAAGTTAATTTAAATTGACTCGTGTACAAATAAATTTTGAAACAAGAATGAAAGTCAATTTAAATCAACTTTTGTACAAAAATTTTAAAAGCATAATGAAAATTTGACTTGTGTAAAAAATTTTAAAAATCGATTTCTGTATAAAAAAATTTCAAAAACAGAAAATTGACTTTCATTATAAAAAAAAATTAAACCTATAATAAAAGTCAATTTAAATCGATTTCTATATAAAAAATTTTAAAAATAAAATAAAAGTCAATTTAAATCAACTTTTATGTAAAAAAAATTAAACTTATAATAGAAATCGATTTAAATTGATTTATGTGTATGAATTTTCAAAACAAAACAAATTTTGTTATAATATACTTTTAGGATATTTATGTAAATTTTTTCTTTTCAAGATATTTAGGGAATAATAATTTTTTTTAATTTATATATGTAAAAAAGCCGTAAAGAGAGGTGTTTGTTAATCAATATCTTAAAATCACTTGCTTGTGATAATAAAGTATTATTCTTTACGGGTTTTAGGATTTCATAAGCATGTACGTTTAGATTCAATATTTAAATTTATGTGTATATATTATCGGATGGAATTCAAATTATAATTGTACTTCGATAAATTAATTTCACATTAATCAAATGAGTGTATTCTCAAAAACGAAAAAAAAAAGGATTATCGATTTTAATTTATAATTAACTTCTTACGAGTGGTTTACTACGGAAATGTCATTAAAAAATCATCGTTATTACTTTCTCCCGTGAAAGCTACTAAGAATTAACCCAAATCGAACAAAAATACACAATGTTAATGGGTTATTTTTTAAAAGTTAACTCTTAATCGTATATTTTGACCAACTTCTCATATATTTTAGTATTGATTAAAATTTATGAAAGTTTTATGATATCAAATGAATTTTACTCTTCGTGTATTGAACACTATATCTTATTTGATAAATTTACATAAAAATTTAACAATGATAAGTAATATGCTTAAAAATTGTATCAACGGAATACATTTCTAATATTTTATATATATCTAAAAAAACACGTTTCTTCAATTTGCGAATACACAAAATCATTATTATATTTATGCAAGATAGATGGAATTATGCGGAGCGCTGGTCAGTGATAACATAAAAGCAGCAGAGCAATGGGGAAATATAATTTAAAATTAAATAATGAATGGAAAATAGAACTGTTGAAAGAAAAAAATGAGAAATAATTAAATTAAATTAAATTAAATGTATGGTCCATATATTTGACTTTTTAAAAAACTTTGTATGAAAAAGTTTATATTTTAATTATTTTATATAAATGTATAAGAATTAGTTAATACTATTATAAGTATTATAACAACGATTTTTTCACAGGAATTAGGATAAAAAAATACGTTAAGTGAAGAGAATAAAATGCTGACCCCTTTTATGTAAAAATAAAAATGAAATATAAAGATTAAATCTAACATTATAGTGTTGTTAGAAAACGAAAAAAATTAATTGATAAATATTTTTATTGTTTTTATAAAATTTAAATTTATGACAATATTTTTTAGCATAATTTATTCAATTTTTTTATTTATTTTAATATATTTTAATTAAATTTATGTCATAAACTTTTGTAAGATAAGAATACACTTAGATAAATATTTAATTAAGATGCTTATTTAAATATATCTTAAAATATAAAATATTTCATATAAAGGCTTAAAAAAGTAGTATTAGTATGAGATATAAAGACATTTATTTTAACTATAAACTTCTTCACTTTTTAAAATTTGTAAATTTTAAATGACTAGAACTCTTGATCTATTACACTATTTCTTATTTAATAAAATTTATGTAAATTATACTTAATAATAATAATTAATGTATTAAAAAAATGTGTAAACAATATGTTATTAATATTTGTTTTTCATGTGACGGGATCATTATTATACATGAAAAACAGATGGCGTGGACCAGTGACACAGAGAAAAGGAAAGAGAGAGTATGGTTTATTTTGTTTTGTTTTATGAATTTACAAATAATGATTTGAATAAAAATTATAAAAGAATAAAATTTCACCCAAACTATAATTGGGAACTTTTCAAAGGAGAGACAATCATGTTGACAGGGAAACAGTCACAGCTAACAGGAGCGTCATCACTTTGTGAGTCTGTGACTTTAGATTAGATTGGATCCCTTTTTCATGTTTGCTATGGAAACTTCAGCCTCCAACGTGTTGCGCGTCTGTATCACATTGCTGTGGACGTTCTCCTCTGAGATTGGGACCCACCAAACATGGCGAATAGAAACCTGTCTACTGCGAGATGTAAAACGACAATGAACGAATGTGTCGTATTGGGACCCACGCATCACCTCGTGCCTAGCTGGACCATCGCCGTTGAGGACTGGGCCCCCCTCCTCCATCGTTATGGTGCACCGCGTCCGCATAGTTTGCCCGTCAACGCCTGCCACCTAAGCACTTTTATAGTCAGAATGATTAAAGTTTAGGTTGATGATAAACTTTAAATAATTAAATATAACGAAGATATTCATTTAAATATTATTGTAGAGTTTTTTTATTTTTATTAAAAAGTAATATTTAGTTTGAGTTGAGGTGCTTCTATAAATAACCATTAAAATAACATTTTTGTCAATCTGATTTATGTAAACCATATATATATATATATATATATATATATATATATATATATATATATATGATTTTGTTTGGTTGAAAAGAGGTTTGAAAGAGATCTACTAGAGAGGATCCAATTTGTTGCAATTGGTCTCTCTTTTCTCAACCCAACACCAGTGCACGACATTGGTTGTCATTCTAAGCTAGTGTTCGACTTTGCTGTCAAAGTTACACCAAAAACTAGTTGTGTAATCTTTCTCATATAATTATAAATCAACTTTTTTTTCTTTTTAGGCTTATAAGGGACTATGAACTTGCTTAACATGTAATTATCTACATTTTGGAATGTACAACACGTCAAAAGCAGAGTTAATAATCTCTAAACTATGAGAAACAGTAACTCCAACTTGACTATTCCCTCCCCTTAAGAAAAAATAAATTCCTTGTGAAGTCATACAAAGAAAGCAGCAGAGAGATATATAGAACAGAAAAAGATTGGTTGACTAAAACGATTTATTTTCTTAATTAGACATGAACTTGTTGGCACGTTAGAATAAACAAGTTTTGTGTTGTAGTAAATAAACCATGAGAAAGTAGATTCGTTACAAACGCGTAACCCCACAACAGAGGAAATAGGCAACTTTTAAAACGCCAACTCATTTCGCATACTTGATAGAAAGATACACATCTAGAAAATACACAATGATACTTGCTAATTCTTTTTTACAGGCTAATCTGTGTATGGCATAGGCACAGTTTTCATTATTATTTTGATCCTCAAGTCTCCGACCGCCTTTTTTTTTGCTGAAATAATGCACATTAAAAGGTAACCAAATGATTGGCCATGATTGGAACTTTCTTTAATAATGAGCGCAGGACTCGGATTAAGAAATAAGAATGTCTAAAAACTAGCATTTAGCTAATACAAAGTCTCACAGCCATTGGGGACAAACAAAAACAAGAAAAAGTATAAGTAGCTTATCAATAAGGAAGAGTTTAATTTTGATGTCGTGGGTATAAAACTTTTCACATTATCATCTATTTAAAATTAATTTTAAATGAGTTTAAGAGCAATTATTACAAAAATATTTACTTCTGTCTTTCCATATTTCTGCTTCATAAGTTTTTCTTTTAATGTTTTTGCGGGTATATTTTTAGGCCTGCTTTTGGTTTTTGGAACAACCGTCTTTTCAAACTAGAACAAGCAACAAACGAATGGGCCCAAGGCCCAACCAGATTTTCAAAAAGAACAAGAATGATACCTCCTGAACTTGGTCCATTTGAGACTAGTGCATATCCATAATTATGAATATGATCCAAGTCTATATAACATCTCCACAGATAATTCTTTAGGTAGTCACTACAATGTGTACCTACCACTAAAAAATAGATGAAAAATATATAAAGATAACAATGTGGAAACAGAGTAAAATACAAGGATGGAAAACGTTAAATTCAGTAACACAACGAGTCAGTGTTTTTGAGTCACACCAAACCATAAGGAAATAAATGTAACTGTCGAAAAGAAAATGACATACATTAGCGGCCACGCAGGAGCCATTCAATTATTCAAAGCCAAGGAGAATTGTAAATAGGTGTTACAACAGATTTAACTTGTAAGTACTTGTGGAGGGCCTCCAATCCCAAATCTCTTCCAAATCCACTCATTTTGTACCCTCCAAAAGGAACGTCATTCCCAAACGCAAAATAGCAATTTATCCAAATAGTGCCTGCACGAATGGACCTTGACATAGTGTTTGCAGTATCCAAATTCTTGGTTACAATGCCTGCTGCTAGGCCATACTTGCTATTGTTAGCACTTTTAATTGCTTCCTCAATGGTCCTGTTCGTATGTCACACTTGAATTTAGTGTTCAAGAACATGCCCTCGAACTTTTTTATTTTTATTTTTTATGTGCAAAAACACCAAAAATTGTAAAATTAAAATATAACTTACTTAAACTTCATTAGCGCCATTACAGGGCCAAATATTTCATCTTGTGCTATGAGCATGTCCTCCTAAACATGTTTTTATTTTTATAAGGGAAAAGAAAAAGAAAAACATGATGATTAACTATCAAACAATGCTAAAGATATCTAAGTTGACACTTTGATGGAATTAGAATTCACCTTTACATTAGAAAATACTGTAGGTTCAATGTAGTAGCCCCTGTTGCCCACTATTTTGCCTCCCGTCAAAATGATTGCTCCTTCTCTTTTTCCATGCTCAATATAGGAAAGTATTTTTTCAAATTGGTTTTTGTCAGCCTGAAATAGAAAAAATATTCTTATGTCTCTTTGAATGAAAATTGAGTATAATTGATTTTAATAAAATTAATTTTGAATCATTAAATGTGATTGTGATGTGTGCATAAATTAATTTGAGTAACATAATTTTATTGGAACATATGTTTTTCATTAAAAGTGTGATTTTATAACTTCAAAGTAGTCAAGTAAAATTTCAGTTTGACCATTTTTGCAAATAATGTATAATGTTTGAACTATGACATTCAGACAGTGACTAGAAAATATCATCAAATATATTTTAAAATTAGTATAAATATGATTGTGCTATATATATATATATATATATATATATATATATATGTGTGTGTGTGTTTGTGTAGAAAGAATCTTTTTATACTAGTGTAAATTTAAAAACTTTTACATCTAATTTGAGTTTTTTATTTAATTTAAATCTAACGATCAATAAAGTAATAAATTATTACCTATTAGATTTAAGTTAAATGAAAGACTCAGATTGACTGTAAGAATTTTTAGACATCGACCAATGTAAAAAGATCATGCCCATATATATAATACTTACTTGAGGTCCTTGCTGTGATTTAGGATTAAAAGGGTCTCCAACTATCCAAGATTTGGCCTTCTCCACTAACTTCTTCTCAAATTCATCATAAATCCCTTCTTGAACGAACACACGAGAACTTGCTACACAAATTTCTCCCTGAAATCACATACTAAGAAATAAAATATTGGCTTGGTGTGTGTGTATATAGGGTGGGGATCAAGTTACTTCATGCTATATAATAACTTTAATAAACATTGATTTTTATCAATCAAATCTTAGGTTATAACTGAGATGCTCTTTTAAAAGAAAGAATTTTCTGAAAGCAAATTCACCTTGTTAATCAAGACGCCCAAGATAGCAAGCTCAGCAGCTTTGTCTATATCAGCATCATCAAAAATAATGAGAGGTGACTTGCCTCCTAATTCAAGTGAAACTGGTTTTAGATTACTCCTAGCAGCAGCTTGCATTACTTCACGTCCTACTTCAATTGAACCAGTAAAGCTAACCTGAAGATACAAATATAATTAAAGAAATTTTAGCAGTCAATGAACTTGTACTTCCAAATGTTTCACATATAAATTACCGCATCAATATCCATGTGTGAGCTAACTGCAGCACCAGCAGTTGGGCCAAATCCTGGTACTACATTGAGCACTCCATCTGGGATTCCAGCCTTTCAAAGGGAAAAAAAGAAAATTAAGGCCCATTTGTTTAAATTTTTTCAAAAGGTATTTTAAAAATTTATAAGAAAATATTTAATTTTTAGAAATTTGATATAAAGCAATTTTGTATTTTTTATTTTTAGTTATAATTGCAATTTTTATTAAATCATGTGTGCAAACCAACTTACCAACTTAGCCAAATGAGCATGAAACAAAGCAGAGAGAGGTGTTTGTTCAGCAGGCTTGAGGACCATGGTGCACCCTGCAGCTAAGGAAGGGCTAACCTTGGTGAAGAACATGGAGGTTGGTGCATTCCAGGGAATTATGTGTCCCACAACACCAATTGGTTCCAACAGTGTATATGCATGGAACTCCTGGCTCATTTTTAATACCTCGCCATGAATTTTATCAGCAGCACCTGCATAATAACGTAGCGTACTAGCAGCCGCAGGAATTTCCACAACCTTATTAAAATGGTACAGCTTGCCAGCATCTATCGTTTCTAATGCAGCTAGTTCATCTACATTTTCATCAATTAGCTCTGCCCATTTCATCATAATTTTTGCCCTTTCCTGACATACCACACCATGTCAATATTAATATTGATGAGGGCGATGAGAAATGGTAAAAGGAAAATTTTAAAAACGAGAGAGTAAATTATAGCATCATAAATAAATACAAAAAATATATTTAGTTTTTTAAAATCTGACTTGTGCTTATAAAAAAAGAACAAATTATATCGACATTCTCTAAATTTTAACAAAACTTCATGTGATAATTCTCTTTTTTTTCACCCTACTCAAACTTTCCTTAATTTATGTAGTAATAAAATCACATTTCCTTTTTATTACATAAACTAACCCTGAGTTCCCGTAATATCGTGCTTCCTGAAAGCACAGTATTAATCAGTAATGAATAATCCATAAAAATGGATTCCGAGATTTTGCTTATCATTAAGAGGCAACATAGCATAAACGGGCGGATAATGTGGCTAAATGATATCCTTACCATTAGACTTTTAGGTTTGGTTGGTCCAGATCATTCTCATTTAATTTATGCTAGTTTGACCTTCAAAAGCTTTGCAATGAAATATATTTTCACAATTTTTAGTATTAAATTCTAGATCAAGGATCATACTTTTCATTTTTTAGTGAAAATGAAAATGCCTGTCGAATTTCTTAATATAAAAAGTTAAGAATGGTTTAACTGGAGAATTGAAGAACAAAAAAACACAAAATAACATTGGGGAGCAGTGAAAATTAATAAAATATTGTCTAATTAAAGAAAGGTAAAGCATTTTTTGGTCAACTGAAAAAGAATGACTTACAGAACCGGGCAAGCGAGGCCATGGGCCTGAGTCAAATGCTTCACGGGCCGCTTTAACGGCTAAGTCAATGTCTTCTTTATCTGCCTCGCTAACTCTTACAATCACCTCTTCTGTTCTAGGATCTATAGTCTCAAATGTCCTTCCTTTGAAAAAAAAAAACCATAAAAAAGTATATATGCACATTGTTAAAACTAAATAAAATTAAAATAAATTTTAATTCTCAATATTTTTAATTTAAAATATCTAATAATTGTCTTTTAAAAATTTTAACTAATAAAAACATTATAAAAATTACGTTTCTTACTTGTTGATTAATTGTTAAACAACAAATGACTTTAAAATAATATTTATTTTTTATTTATTAAAAAACAAACTCTCTTTATGTCGTATTTGGTTACAATTTTTTTCTTTACATAATCGATCTCAAGCCTTGGTTCGTTTCTATAACGTCAAGTCTAGAAAGAAAATATGAGTAACAGAGAAAACTACCACTGAAACGAATGCCAATAAAAGAAACAGATTAGAAAGAGAGGAAAAGGCCGTGAGGCTTTGCCAAAATAACAAGCCACAAGTATTGATCATGTTATTTTCCAATGAAAATTACTATTTATTTCAACAATAATTGTTTTATATTCAATAATTGAAATTAACTGTAATTAGTGAACTAAAACACTAATTTTAATTAAAAATAACATTAATAGTACCTATATAACACTATATAAAAATTTAATCCTATATGCAAGAACCTGATATGGAATCAACAAAATTTCCATTGATGAAGAGCTTGGTAAACTTGATGGTGGGCATCTTGAAGAAGGAGCCGTCGTGGCCACTGTTAGAGTTTGAGAGGGAAGTCATCTGTGAGTGGACGTTGTTAGAGAGAGAAGGTTGAGATGATAGGAAGAGCTGTATCGTTACAATTATATAAGCAAAATTAAAAGCATGACCTGACAATGATTTAGGTAAGAAAAAAAAAACACTAGTGGTTTTGCAAAAGCACAGCAACTAATTAAAAATACAGAAATATATCTTTATAATTAATTGTATAAGCAAAGATAAAAGCATGAATTGACAAAGGTTTACGTCATAAAGTTTTATTTCAATATATTATTATTATAAATTTTTTACTCTATCAACTAATTAAAAATACAGTAATTATATCTTTATAATAATTATTTTAAAAATTAATAATACCCATTAATATAATATTTTATAATTAAATGATTAAATAAAAATAAGCTATGCAGTCATTGTATTTTAATTATATTTATTTTCTAAAAATATGTATGGGATAGCTTTCTTACCATGGCAGGTGAAGCTTTCCTGCCCATCATTAGAGACAAACCTAATCTCCGACCAAACATGAAGAAAATAGGTAGCAATTTCCCTAGAACAATTAAATATAAAAATTACATAATTTAAAATATTTAAATTAATACAATAATTTTAACTAAACATGCATTTTTCCTTTTTAAAGTGGAAAACATTTTAAATGTAAGAAAAGAGAGCATATTTTATTTTAAAATAGTCATATTATATTTATTGAAAGAGAATAAATTTATATCACTTCACTTGTTAGAATTAAGAGTCATGAATATGTTTTTTCTATTCATAAGGATTATTTATTAATTTTTTTAAAATTTTACAAAATAAAAAATTATTTACAAAATTGTTACAAATTTTAATAGTATTATTTATTATAATATTTATATTAATAAGACATCTATTTTTTACTCTTATAAATAAATATATTTATTCGTTCAATGTATGAATCATTAGTTTAATTATTTATTATTATAAACTATAAATTTATAACACTTTACTATATTTATAAAAAAAGTTGATGAATTATATTTTTATTTTTTTATAAACAGGCTGGAAGGACTATATAATAGAAATAGTTTTGATTTAAAATTTAAATTTAATTCAAATTCAACGAAAAAAATTTAGTTGGTTTTATTTTATTTTGTCTAATTAGTGGCAAATAAAAATTATCAGTACTATAATTTTTTAATATTAAATATTAAATATAAGAATAATATCAAATGAAGGTATTTCAAAAATATTATTATTATACTTTATTTCTATCTATCGATTTAGGAAAAAAGAGAGTCATTTAATAGAAAAAGTATAATTTTTAATCATGTAAATATTTCATCTATTAGTAGAAGGAAAAAAAAAAAAAGGAATTGATTTACAATTTTTTTTTTATTTTTAAATTTTTTTGAATAATATTTGGTACCCTTTATGTAATCTTTAACGGAATATCAATACAATGTAATCCTCAAACGAATGATTATCATATCTTTCTCGTTGAGTGAAAGAAAAGCAACTGGGTATTAAAAAAGATAAAATTGAACAATAATAAGATAATAGCAATAATGTAAATATAAGGGAAAGAAGACAAGATTTCCAACAAACAAAGGGAGGTGACCAATAAAATGACAAAAACAGTCGAGTGTGAAATGCATTGGCAAGTGATATGAGAATCTTATATTATATACGAATCAGAAGCAGCATCGAATTAGATATTAAAAAAATATATTTATTGCTTCTTTCTTTAGTGGGTAAGGACTAAGGAATAAAAGCAAAAACTACAATTTATAATAGTTTTCTCTTTTAAGTATCTTTTCATTTAATAAATGACAAACTAATTTTTCAAGGATTAATGACAACACTGCTAAAGTGAGAATTATTCTCAACGGAAATTTGTTTTATATTATTGATAGGTACAATGGAGAAAAGAAATTGTATTACGAGAAGAATATTGAATTTTAATTTTAAATATGAATTCATAAGTTTTGTTTAAGAGTTAAATTTTAAAAAAAATAAAAGAAAAAATTGTTTAATGACAAGACTCGTTTAAGAGTTTTTAAATAAAAAGTGATTTTTTTAAAATTATTTTAAATTCATATTTTAAAATTGTTCTAATTTAAAGGATTTTTTAATACTTCTTCCTTCTAACTTTTCTCTTCCATTTTCTGTTTTGAGTCCTTATTTTACTCTCCTTCAAACTCTTAAAGAAAGCATAAAACTATTGTGTTATATAATAGATAAGGCACAACAAAAATCATGGAAAGAAAAATAAATATAAAAATATTCACAAACTACTTCAATCTAATGCAATCAAATTATAAAAAAAAATATTTAATTGGACTATATACATTAATTTTCAAAATATAACTAAACCAATTTATGAATTTCCCTACTTAAAACTGATCCACTTAATTTGTAAACACCTATGGCATTATCTTATTTTCAAGAATAAAAAGTTAAATTTATTATAAAAGATTGAATTTATCTGACAAATTACGAGAAGTGTCATCCATTAATATAAACAAATAAAAACATTTATTTATCATGCTTATAGAAGCTATTATGATCATTTGTTGTATTATTATCTTTTATGGTATTATCTTTTTTTCTTCTGCAAGGACTTGTATAGAAATCCATAACAGGGACAGGTTGTATTATTATCAATGATACAAAGCCTTTATACACAGGTCAACTGTTGCTAATATCACTGCTCAAAAGGTGAATGTTTATGATTCATGATAGATGAAAATTGATAGGTCGTGACTGGGAGATATTCAAAGCCAAGGAGAATTGTAAATGGGAGTTACAACTGATTTAATTTGTAGATACTTGTAAAGGGCTTCCATTCCATGATCTTTTCCAAATCCACTCATTTTATATCCTCCAAAAGGAACATCATCCCCTATGGCAAAATAACAGTTGATCCAAATAGTGCCTGCACGAATGGACCTTGACACTGTGTTTGCAGTATCCAAGTTCTTGGTCACAATGCCTGCTGCTAGGCCATACTTAGTGTTGTTTGCATTCTTAATTGCTTCCTCAATAGTCCTGTTATTCATATATAATACATGTTTCATTAACTAGGCCCTTGTACACTTTTTTAGCACTAAACTTCCTACAAAATAATTAACCAAAGACACTATAAAATATGAATAATAATAATAAACTTACTTAAACTTCTTCAGCGCCATCACAGGGCCAAATATTTCATCTTGTGCTATAAGCATATCGTCCTAAACGGGTAGTTAATTTTTTACAATGGAAACAAGATGGTTAGTTATCTAACTATGTTGAAGATGGCCAGTTGATAATTTTTTCGTGGACTTGTAATTCACCTTTATATCAGAGAAAATTGTGGGCTCAATGTAGTAGCCTTTGTTGCCCAAAGTTTTTCCCCCGGTCAAAAGGGTAGCTCCTTCTCTCTTCCCATGCTCAATATATGAAATAACTTTTTCAAATTGTCTCTTGTCAACCTGTAATATAACATATAGATAGTTGTTATCCTATAGAAAAGTGCATGTCCTAATTACTTCTCTTAATTTTGTTTCAAATGCTGCTGAGCAATTTTATAAATAATAAAGTTATGGAGTTCCAAGAAAACAAGTGATGTAAATTTTAGGACTAGTGCAGAAATAGTTATGCCACTATTTATTTTCCTTACTTGAGGCCCTTGCTGAACTTTAGGATCAAAAGGATCCCCAACAATCCAAGCTTTTGCCTTTTCTACCAATTTTTTCTCAAATTCGTCGTATATTCCTTCTTGCACAAACACACGGGAACTTGCAACACAAACTTCTCCCTATAGCCACATAGGAAGATATTAAATGTTGGCAGAGATATAACTAGATTTATATTTGCGAAAAAAGGAATTTGTGTAAGCAATTTCACCTTGTTATATAAGATTCCCAATAGAGCAAGCTCAGAAGCTTTGTCTATATCAGCATCATCAAAAATTATAAGGGGTGACTTGCCTCCTAATTCAAGTGATACTTGTTTTAAGTTACTCTTAGCAGCAGCCTGCATTATCTCACGGCCAGTTTTTGTTGACCCAGTGAAGCTGACCTGAACACACACCAAGGCAATTTAAGTAGTCTTATTTAAGATCATGATACTTCCAAATGTTTCACATGTAAATTACCGCATCAATATCCATGTGTGAGCTAACTGCAGCACCAGCAATTGGACCAAATCCAGGCACTACATTGATTACTCCATCCGGGATTCCAGCCTTCAAAAGGGACAAAAAGAAAAGAAGTGTGTGTTGAAAATAGTGTATTGCTAACGTTCCTTGTTGATAAACATATGAAACCATTTGGTCAGACATACCAATTTAGCAAGATGGGCATAATACAAAGCAGAGAGAGGTGTTTGTTCAGCAGGCTTGAGGACCATGGTGCACCCAGCAGCTAAAGAAGGGCTAACCTTGATGAAGAACATGGTAGTGGGGAAATTCCAGGGAATTATGTGTCCCACAACACCAACTGGTTCCATCAATGTATATGCTTGAAACTCGCGGGCCATTTTTAATACCTCTCCATGAATTTTATCAGCAGCACCTGCATAGTAACGTAGAGTGTTTGCTGCTGCTGGAACTTCCATATTCTTACACATATGGTACAACTTGCCAGCATCAATGGCATCTAGTGCTGCTAGTTCTTCTACGTTTTCATCGATTAGGTCTGCCAATTTCATCATAATTTTTGCTCTCTCCTGATTTTCATATTCACATATCACACGTCAGCATTTTACCTCAAATGTTGCACTAAAACTTTGATGTTGCCAGGGACGTAATTAAAAGATATTTATTGGGATAACTACGCTGGAAGATCAATAAAAAGTCTTAAAAAAAAAAATGAAATTACAGTTTTTAATACATTGCAGAAAAGTTCTAAATTCTTAATTTTCATATTTATAATAAATTTTAAAATAAATTATTTTAAAAGCAATTGCATCTATCTATCTGTATATATTGGTCCTCTACCTTGATAAATATATAAACTCCGTTTATTTAAGTTAAAAAACAAACTCTTGTATTCAAATCGTCTTCATCATTTGAGACGTGCGTAGTTTTCCCAGACAATGGGCTTAGCCCATGTTTCTGGTAATTTTTCAAAAGAAAATATTTTTATTTTTCAAAAAATTGAATAACTTTTTAAAAGATAAACATAATAAACCCTGACTTAATAATCGGCCATTTTGCACCGCTCAGCCGGTGTCATTGAAACTGCAAAATTAGTTTGTATTTGGGTTAACGTGGCCCAGTTAAAAGTTGGGTTGAATAATCCAAATAGGAGAAACTGGGTAAGACCACTCGCGGAGAAAACATTACTATTTCGTGAAATAGTATAAAAATTAACCTATATATATATATATATATATATATATATATATATATATATATTATAAACAATAGTCTAGTATTAAATATTTACTTAAATTTATTTCTTTTTTATAGTTTATTATATATATATATATTATTAAAATTAACTAAAAACAATATGAGAATTACGCTCTCTTTTGTCATAATAATTTAACTTTTTCTGTGTTTTTTAATTTTATTCTAAATTTTAAATTTAATTTTTTATTAGAAGAGTCAAATCTCTTTAATTATAATTATTAATATATATTAAAATTAATATTTAATTTCAATTTTTAACAATTTATTATAAAAATATTATTTAAAATAATAAATGTTTTTAAATTATTTAAGTTTTATTATTTTAATATATATTATTCGTAATACAAAGTTAAGTTAAAATAAGTATTATTTAAAAATATATAATTATTATAAATTTTAATTTTTATTATTAAATTATATATATGTATTCTAAAATAAAATAGATTACACATTTTACTAAATTAGTATATTATCAAATGTGCATGTTAATTTCTTTTCACGTTAAAAATAATTTTTTTAAAGTATCTATACTCATAATGTCAAGCAATCCAATTTGTTTTTATTGGAGAGAAAGTCAATCAATCAAGCCATTAAGTTCTTGTTTGAAAAACGGTTTCAAACAATTATTAAATATTTGATATTAATATTTTTTATTTTTTAAATTATTATTGTTAGCCACTTAACTTAACTATAAAAATTGAGATTAATATATATATATATATATATATATATATATATATATCCTTTTTTTCTTCTTCCACTAAAAAAAATCATTTTAACTATGGATAAAACTGAACTACAACTAAGTGTATATACAAATGATTTCATCGGTTAAAATAATGATATCTTTTGTTAAATTAATGATACACATGTTTTTATTTAATTTTTAAAGAATTTCATTCTAAATGATCTTGAGATTGTACATAATTATAAAATCACATATAATTAAAATTAACTTGATGAAATAAAATGAAAAAGAATAAAAAAGTATATATAATAAGGGAACGGAAAAATGGACGTACAGCTCCAGGTAGACGGGGCCATGGGCCGAAGTCAAATGCCTGACGTGCGGCCTTTACGGCAATATCGATGTCTTCTTCGGTTCCCTCGCTGATCCTCGCTATCACGTCCCCTGTTCTTGGATCTATCGTCTCAAATGTCTTTCCTTTTTTTTTTTTTTTTTAATATCCACACAGCAAACAAAAAGACAAACATCATATGAGTTAACAAATTTGTATTATAAAATAAAAACAAAAACTTCATCTGGTGTCGGTATGTCAAGTGAGCTCTCAATCTGCATTTTTTCCGTTCTTGATATATAATTTTCTTAACCAATATAACATTACACAAAGAAATCATATTTTCATTGAAAAAAGTTATAACATTTAATTGTATTAATTATAATTTTTAATAAAAATTTATTTATATATATATTTTCACAAGTTAGTATATATATATAAAGAGAGAGAGAGAGAGATTTTTTGTAATTCTAAAAGCAGGATTTTAAGCTTACTCTACTCAATTATGTGATATTATTTTAACAATTTTATATAAAAATTTAAATTAAATTTATAAAATATATAATTTTATATTTAACATTTATTTTTTTAAAATACCAGGTTTAGTGTAAAAAAAATTTGACTGATGAATGCCTGATTAACTCTTAAATTGTATAAGTTTTGTTAACAATAATTTTTACTTTGATGGTTGAATTAACAAAATATAATATTTATAAAAATTATAACTATTGAAGTAAGTCGATTTTAGCATTTAAAAAAATTAAATGTTTACTTTTTTATTTTATTTGTAAATTTTTAATTAGTCTCTTAATTTCAATCCATTTTTTAAAATTCAGTATTTTAGTTGCAATAGATAGTTGACATATGACATAAAAATTAGATACATAACACCGTGTTAATTAACTACATCACTATTGAGATTAAAATATTGAATTTAGAAAGAAATTGAGTAAAACCAAAAACAATAATTTAAAGACAAAAATTAAAATTTCACATGAAATATAAGAACTAAAAATCTATTTAAAAAAATATTAAATGTTTAGAAAAATTATTTTATTTTTTTCATGAAATCATAAATATTAATGTGCTTCATGAGTTCCATTAACGGAGTTTCTAAGGAATAGAAGGGAGATGTGGTTTCACCAAAAAAAATAAAAATAAAATATTTATATATAAAAAATATTTTCAAACACTCATAAAAAATACTTTATTTTATTTTAAGTGTTTTTTTTGTATTAAATTTTTTTTTATTGCTAATGTATTAATTTTAAAATTTAATAAAATTATACATAATTATTTTGAATTTTAGATTAATTATTTTATCTACGATCCTCTAAAAATTTTGAGTCAAAGATCCGTGACTGAGTTGTGAGTTGAGACAGCATATTGTTGCGACAACCATTTTATAGCACTATGTGCAGACAAACACTAAATTATAGTTTGAACTTTTAACAACCATTTGCTAGAAATAAACTTGTCTTGCAAAACAAAATACAAAAACCCAACTTTATGCTATCTTTGAAATTGAGGTAATATATTGTCTTGTTGAAGTGCTTCCGATTAAAAACTAAAAATACAGAAAAAGGAATAGAAAGCCAAAGAAGCTAAAAAGAAAGGGCAATAAAGGGGAAAATGGAAATTGAGAAATAGGAACTAAGTGCAGATCGAGAATAGAGGTGCATATATACGCAATTAACCTGATACGGAGTCAACAAAATTTCCGTTAATGAAGAGCTTGGTGAACTTGACGGTCGGAACCTTGTTGACGGAGTCGCCTTCGCCGTAATCAACGCCGGTCATCGTCGCGTGTTTGGCCGCTGATGAGTCGAAGCAGAATGGAAAGTTAGTTGCTGAGACTCGTACAAATGGAAACTGCAGGCGCTACTGCTATATGTATGCGAAACATAAAAGAATGAAAACAAAGGAGTTGACGTATTAATTGACATTAGATGAAGTTTTTGTAAAATAGTATCTATAATATTTGTTTACCGAAAGTAAATTTTATAAATGAAACAGTTAAATCTATAATTTAATTCATTATAAGCTTAATTAAGTTTGAAAAAGTTTCATTTAATTTAAAAATTAAGTAACATTTTATTATATAATTTATTTTAACTTATAATATATTATTTAAAATACAAATAAATGTTTATATTATATTATATTATATATTAATAAAAGTATAAACTATTTTAATATTAATATATACATAATCGGTATAAAATAATGTTAAAATTGTAAAAAAAAAAAGAGATTTTACACACATTTGAATAGGATCAATAGATATTAAATGTCAAATTTTATTATAATTAAATTATACTTTTAATGCCTTCGTGTAAAAAGGAAATTTTATCAGTTAAGCAGTTTAATTTGTACAAAATATATTAATTTTATATAAATTAATTATTTTTTAATGCTTAAATTTATTTTAACATATAATATAGTATTTAAAATATTGATAAATATGTATTATTTAATTATATATTTAGTAATTATCTAAAATTTGATACATAATTATTAAAATAATATCTCATGCTTTAATAATTATACGGTTAAAATTTACTTTTTATAAAATCTTATGAAAGGTATTACGTGACATCAATGTTAAGGGTTATTTTTCTGTGAAAGTGAGTAGAATAAATCGTGACTATAAAATTATATATAAATTATCATAATGAAAGGTTACTTAAAGCTATATGATTAATTCAATAATTTATATGGTTTTGTGTTTTAATTTTTTATCATTAATAATAATATGTAACAGTTAATATTTTCTCTTCATTTTCATGTATAGATTTTGTTTAATGTGTCTAATAAACTTAATAAGTGGAGAATATTTAGATTGAGATTGTTGACAACCAATTAAGACAAGACCAAAGATAATTTAACATGGTCTTTTTTTTCAATGGCCTGTTTTTTTTCCTTCTTGTGGTCATGGAGGGCGATCGTCGCTCATGCGTGCCTCGATTCACCTATCTATTTATATAAACTTAATAAGTGGAGAATATTTAGATTGAGATTGTTGACAACCGATTAAGACAAAGACCGAAGATAATTTAACATACCAACAGTTACCATGTAAAGTATACGGGACCTGAACGGGACCATTGACAGTAGATTGCATGGTGAGTTGGTGACACCTCGTTGAAAATCACGTATGGATGTAGTACTGCGCACTCTATGTGGACGAGCATGTGATAAAATTTATATACTAGCTAGGTCATTGGGCAATGGCCTCGCCTGCTTGTACTCAATTCGTAACTACATTTTCAAATGATTCACAGATTTTAACTTATCGTAAAACCTACATTAAAGCACGCAAACGATATATATATGTTGTCAAGAAAGGGTCGAAATTGTGGGGATAACAAAATTTATGTTATGTGTTTCGTTAATTCACGTGTAATTAAATTATACAGTAGTCCAGATTAAAACATATAAATTGTTGTTCCAAGTCACCGATGTGTCTAGCTAGGTCACACACTCTTCTTTCAGTGGTCTTTTTTTTCCCTTCTTGTGGTCATGGAGGGCGACGGTCGCTCATGCGTTCCTCGATATAATGGAAAAAAAAATGTCAATGGGGAAAAAACTGATGGACGATGATTGATATAAGGACTACATTTATCTGTTTATTATGCTATGTGAGCATACATGCATATGATAACATACAGACATGTATATCAAATTATGGTAAGGGGTATATCGTATGCTATATTCAAATACATCAAACTCCTGGTTTTATACAACTGTGCATCTTCCTTCGATGTTCGCCGGCTAGTGGGAGGGTGACAAGTTAATAAAAAACAATCAATTATCATATTCTTATACTCACTTTTTTTATATTTATTATTACATCTAATATTCTTTTTCCTTCTACCCATTTAACGAGTGTCTAACATATTATTATTATTATTCAGAAGAAACGTCATCCCGCGATATTCTTGGCCAGGTTTGCAAGAAAAGTCATAATGCTTCATTTTCTTCTTAGATAGAAAACGCTAAAAAAATTATATTTTTAAAAAATATTGTAAGGGAAAAAAAAATGAAAGATGAGACTTCGAACCAGCTGGTGACAAAGACACTATAACCAGTATTGTGTGTTAGCCCCAAAGAGAAAGAGGTTGGTGTAACGAGAGAGAAAGAGGCACGTAAGTGACTGTAAAACTACAAAAATACGTAGCTCTAGGAGATAATTTAAAAATTGGTCTGTTATGTGGCCCTAGAAACAACACTCAATCGAAACATATTTTGGATTTGTGTACATAATTCAAGATTTGACCCGTTTCATCCGGAATATACTATAAATAAAAAATGTTTAAAACGAAAAAAGCAGCCTTCATTTATTATTAATTTTTGTTTTGGCATATATTATTAATTTGAGTTAAAGTATCCTGTAAATATAATTAATTTTAAATTAATGATAAATAAATATTCTATTTATTACTTTACACTTTTTCTTGCTCTAAAAGAGTTAAATTTAATTATCTTATCATAACATTACGTTTTTATATCAATTTAATTAAAACAACCATCTTAGCCCATCAATCACGTTTGCCATGATATAATTTCTGTTCTTTTTAAACAATCATTTGTCATATATGCGTGGCTTTTGTTCTTAAGATCTGAAGAGATGTTCATATGAGACTTTACAAGGAGAGAGGAAAGGGAACAAGAAAGAAATGGAGCACAACATGGGAAATTGACTCCACCCATCTCATATATGTATAAAATTTGAAATGACTTAAGGAAACATATTTGTTTAATTAGTGAGTTATCGGTTAGCATTTTTATTTATTTTATCGTTTTCTCTTGGCTTCAAAATTCAAGGTTATGTTGAGCTTGACCGAGGTAGCTGTTGGCCAAAATAATGGAGCAGGTACATTACACGACAAAACTTAAAAAAAGATACATAGGAGCTGAATATGAACCTTCAGTGTTAACGGATATATTAAAGTATTTATTTTTCTATATGTTATAACCGTGTCAAATACATGTTTGACATTGACATAATTTTTGTTTTTAGTATCCTTTGTTTACATAACCAGTATATACCAAAAATAAATTTATGCTGCCGTTTTCGCAATAAAATATTGTAATAATTAAAAAAAAAAAAGACAAAATCCAATCAATTATCTAAGAGTCAAGATTAATTTATTTTGAAAATTACTCTAATAAAAATTATTCTATTTAATAATTCTTTATAAATATTAAATTTTATTAATTTAATTATTATTATTATTTTAAATAAATCAAGTCTACAAAATATCATGCAAATTAAAAATTTATGGAACACTTTTATTTTAACACCTAATGTAAATTTTTAAACTATAAATAAGTATATTAGTTACAAGTTGTAAATGTTAGTTTTATCTAAAACTTTATATGAATGATCAACATAAATATATAATTTTATTTAATTATTAAATTGCAAAATTTAATAATTCATAATTAAATTTATGTGACCTATGAGATGTGGAACCTTATTTCTTTTTCATTCGACTAATCTCTTCAAGATCAATTGTCTAATGCTAAACAGCATATTTAATTTCGTGTGATCATACAACTTGTGTGTTAATTGTTGAATATTAATTAAATACTAGGACAAGAGAATCTCTAACATATGTGATAGATCATAATTAATTCACTCTCTAACATATGAGATACTTTTAAGTGTTTTTTTTTAATATTTGAAATGTATTTTTAGAATATATGTTCGTAAAAAAAAATAAAAGTGAAAAGAAAAAAAATACTACTATATAAGATTAATTTTTAACGATTCAAATAATCAAACTGTTCGTAAAATATTAAGCTTTTAGCTAAAACAAATAAGTGCTTATTATCGTAATATCATTTCGCATTATTTATTGTCATTCCTTTTTAATAACTTTGATCTTTATTTTTGTAGAATTTACATACAATTTATTACCACTCCTATACCCTACATTTTTTTTAACTAATGCTAATTCTCTTCTGATCTAACATAAGTTTTCCAAAGCCAGTATTTCCATAGCACCGAAACGCGCGATAGAATCTCGTGCGCGAAACGTGCTGGACCAAAACAGTAATCTTAATTAATAATACATGAAAATAGTGTCAACCTAATTGAGAAATCTCATTATATTTAATGTCAAATGATATAATTATTAGAAATTTAGGGTATAAACCATAATATATTACAACTTCAACACAACCTTTTTGTTACAAAAATTTCAGAAAAAATAAAAAAAAAGTGACAATACACACACACACACACACAAAAAGGGTGGGGGGGGGGGGGGGGGGGGGGCAAAAATGAATATAAAATGTACAGCTTTCCTGATACGTTACTTAATCTGCCATCTAGCGTTTTATGGAGATTAATAATATGGAATTAATGGCTAGTTTAAACTCTAAAACCCTTTTTTTTTTTTCACTTATTTCACAATTATTTGATCATATAATAGAATACTATTTAAACATTTTGCTTCACATTTCCATAACTGAGTCCAATTCACTACATGCAATAAATTTGGTTACCAGGAGACCATCTTCCTCTTCTAGGTATGTAGTATAATGACATCAATTTATTTTTTAATAATAACGATAAATTTTTTTCTGGTCGTAACAACAACAATACTTCCCTTTTTTAAAAACAACATTTTTTTTGTTATGAGGCTAATTCTTTCGCTGGCCTTTATGGCTGAAAGCCCAAGAGAGGTGCATAAGGCTTTGCCGTGCCCTAGATTTGGGCTGTGCTGCCAAAGGCATTGTCTATCCTCCTCAGCCATTGTTTCGCCACTGACTTCAACAGCAGTTAAACAACCGCACCTTAAGGGTTGTTTGGAAAAGAATATTTTTGAGCGGAAGAAAAGGCAAATTTTGTATTTTAATTAAATATATTTTAAATTAATATTTTTTACAAAATAAAATATATAAATTAATATATTAATCATACATTTATCATCATAAATAATATACAATTCTTTTAATTTAAAATTTAAAAATATATCATTCTCTCCGTTCTTTTCTAAAATCACCTCCCATAACAAACCTTATACCCACTCAGTTAAGTTTGTAAACTTTACGCACTTTCCATGATGAAAGCAAACTCCATTACAGCTACAGCTTTTTTTTCAAAGGGAATTTTTTAAATCCCCACGTAACTGCTTTTTATTCAATACGCAATTACACAGGCCAAAATAGATTGTCTTCTGGATTGCATTTTATTGTGATTAAACATTAAAGGCACAAGTTATAAACTAAACATTTTTACCACTTACTAGTGCTTTTGGGCATACACAATCGGCATAGAGATTGAGAAATTCAGCCGAACAAAAAAGTAATCATGGCATATGTCTATGTATTTGAAGAAAAGGGATATATTCCCAAAAGAATAAAAGGGAAAATTAATTACTTTGAAACAGTAAAAGTAAACAGAGAAAAAAAAAAAAAGAACTTTCATTCGCACCATACATCTATGCATTTGAAGAAATACATTCCCAGGAACCTATTTTATTTCCAATTATGGCATGCACAAAACGAGAAATACAATTAGTTGAAAGTAGCATAAGGAGACAACGGTATAAAATGGATTGGGGGGTTGTACAATTATCCCCTGTAGCTGGTTTGATCAATTGTATACGGAGGTTGATAAGTTGGAGGAGCAGTACTTCCATAATCATATATCCCGTAACTAGTCTGTCCTGAATAAGAACCACCAGATCGGTAACTAGACAAGCCCAAATTCTCAACAGGAAGAGGGTAGTGCTGTTGTGTTATTCCAGCCGAACTTTGAGGGTGGGAAGTTCCATAGGTTGCTGCGTAAGGATTAGGATTTGGACCGTCGAACATGGTCTGACTCGGGTAGTTGAATGGTCCAGAAAATCTTGGACTGGGACTAGGCTGTAGAGAAGGTGCCATGTTCCTGCGACTGAAAGATGATGATGTGTGTGCACTATATTTCGCTGCTTTGGCTGGACGAGATGAGCTGGATCCACTGCCTCGACAGCCTCGCTTGTTCTGAGGTTTACTTCCAGATGATGAACTCTTCTTCCTTTCGGCCTTAGTTTTCTCCAAATGAGTGGCCCGCTTTCTCAAACTATCAAGGTTGAATTCTGATTCAAGCTTGTGATCTTCTACACATTTGATTATAGCCTTAATGGAATTCAACTCCAAAGTGCTTGAATCATCCTGAAAAATGACACATTTAAGAATGTGGTACATCAAAGGCCTAATGTCAAGAGGATATTAACAAAAAACACCGTATATGAAACTGAATTAGAAAGGTAGTTTATCCAAACCATTGCAGCCTGATTGTTGTTTCCCTTTTTCAACGTGGTGGTGACATTCTTTTTGTAGTTCCGATAATAGGACTTGAGCAGGTTGATCGGAGGAAATCTTTCAGTCAAACCGGACTCTGAAGCAAAATAAACAGCTTCTATCTCCTTGCCATTTTTAATTAATTCATCTATAATATCTGCATAAATCACTTGCTTTAATTAGATAATGCAATTAAATTCTTCTCTCTATTGAATGGAGAAGTATATAAGTATGACAAAGAATGCCAAGTAGAACAGAAACAAGGTAAAAACTGTGTATGTGATAACATAATCTGAATTTCTCTTACTAATTGATTTAGGCCAGGTCTCCTTCGTGCTTCTGCTTTTATTATAGAGAAAAATTAACTCTGTTAAGAGCATACATGTCTACAAGGATAGGTGTAGGGGTAAATTTGAGGGAGATTACTAGAATATAACACATCAAGACATCTGATGAGGAGGAGCTGCAGAAAGGTAATGTGAGACATGTAAGAGGTTGTGGCCAGTTAACATAGACCAATTAGCAGAACTAACATTGAGAGTAGTAATCCAAAAGAGTAACACGGAAACATTATTGAATCAATAAATCCGTTTCTAAGAAACAAGAAAACTTTTAAGAAAATTATTTAAATTTCAGTACCCTCCACTGCATGCAAGACCCTAATGGAATGTAATTCATGCAAGAGCACATGAACCTTAAACAACTAAACTAAAATAATTTTATTCAGCCTATCCTCACCATTTTCCGCCTCCACCCTCACAAATTTTTTTTGCAGCCATCCTTTCTAACTACAGTACTTCCTTTTTCCTCAGCCAGATCTCCACCACCATTGCTCCACCATAAAAGTTCTTCTTTCTACATTTCCACCCCCTCTTCCTTCCATCATTACCACTTCTGCAGGCCATGGATGAACCCAAACTCTGCCTTCCATTGCCAACGCTGCAAACACAAGGTGCTTGCTATAATTGACACTTACACCACTGTAAACCATCAACTCAGACAAAACGCAAGTTTACAGAGGAATGGCTGCAAAAGGGCCCTTCCAAGGTTAAAAACTAGATGATGGGGTGAAACCAGAAATCAGGGAGCCTGGATTTGTTTCAGGATGGCAAATGGGGCCCTAAAGTGACACTTCCTGTTAAGGTACTGAACTGAGAGTTAGCCGAAAATGTTCTTCACAGGCTTCTGGGAGGTCAGGAAGTGGGAAGGGTCAGAGTGAGTGGCACAACATAGAAGGGCTAGGGGCGAAGAACTGGTGGAAGAGTTTGATAATACTTTCAGGCTATTGAAAAGTATAAAAAATTTCCCACATCTTAATTATAGTCCTATATTTCTTTTGCCTTGATTGCATGATCAAATGCGAGTATTGAAAAAGTACAAGGTTTTTACACATGAATTTTAAGTGAAGTTCCTACACTGCAAGAAGGGTTTTTTTCACATGACCATAGTCGATGGAGGCCCCTTGCATTGTACCTTAGGAAAATATAGATAAAAGTTAACAGAAATGTGCTAAGTTTCAAAATGCATCGACCTGTTAATATTTTTAAAAGCATACTATTATTGAGAGTTTATCTAATTATCTGTATACTGGAAAATCTTGGTCCTTCTGGCCTTTTATGGAAGAGGACTATAAATTTTTTCCATAAGGGTTAAATCTTATCTCTAATGCAATACTACAATGTATGCAAATGTTACGGCATAATATTCCATTGAACCACGAACCTATCATGTTGTCCCCGAATTCCAAGGAAGCAGCTAGCTTAGCCATGTCCCTTCTAGAAGCAAACTCCATAACGAACTTCCTCAAATACCCCTCATCAAACCTTGAACGCAATCCGAAACACACCACCATCTGCAGAAACATCACCACTTCCGCAGCACCAGTCTCCGATTCACCATCCATTTCTCTCTTCCACAATTCCACAACCCCGACGGCTCTCTCCACGATCCTTCTAGAATATTCGCGAGACTCCGAAAGCAACGCCTGAATCAGAAGCCCGCACGCCCACCTCTTATCAGTGACACCCGACTTCACCATTTTGCTCTTCAGAAACTCCTCCACCGCGTCCAGCACCAGCCTCGGCGGGTCCACCGCCTCCGCAATCGCCGGAGCTATCTCCGCCCTCAGCGACGCCGACTCTTTCCGCTTCGAAACGATAAAGCGCAACAGCGCCGAAGCGTCCATCTTCCGCGAGAGGGATTTCAAGGTGGCGGAGAGTTCAGCGTTCGCCGGGAGAGGGGTTCGGAGGTCGGCGATTGCGGCTTCCTTCTGCTCGTCGATGCGGGCGGCGGCGGCGGACTCGCGCTCCGAGATGGAGTCCTCGCGGTGGTGGAGAGATTCTAGGGTTTCTTTGGAGCGGGATTCTAGGGCTTGGAATTTCGAATCGAGGAATTGGGATTTCTGGGAGACGGAGTCTTGGAGGGAGGAAAAGTGGTTGGAGAGAGTGGTGAATAGGTTTGTGCACGTGGCTAGGATCTTCTTGTGAGCTTCCAGTTCGTCGAAGAATTGGTGAACCTTCTCTGAGGTTGTTGCCAATTGGGGCGCCATTGTAGAGTGTTCTGAAACCAAAATGATAGACCCTAATAAACCATTCTGAAGACGAAGAAAGAAGAACTTGAGCTGCTTCCAGTCGCAGAATCCCACGCAGGTTTCAAGTATTTTCTTTTATTTTTTTAAACGGATGATGAGTATTTTATTTATTTTTAGTTTTCCCCAGTGGATGATATTGAATATTGATATGTACACAGCGGCGTCGTATCGCTGAAACCATAGTTATACTCTCATCATGGGCCAGGTCTGTTAAAAAAAGGCCTAACCAGCTTGCACAATTTGCATTATTGTATTTTGGTAGAAAGATTTAAGGAAAGGGAAGTATCAGCCATCAATTAATCTTTGTTTCAACTCAAAACATGTTATCCACCAAAGAAGAAAAAAACATGTTAATAAGCTTTGAAAGAGTTTGCAGATGGGTTATCGACCAAATCCTTTTTATTGACGTTTTGATTGTTAACTGAAAAATACTAGACTAAAAAATTGAGAAATATTTAAAATACCAAACTAATCATCAAGGACTGAATTGTTTTTCATTTAATATTGAAAAACTAAATTCATGTTTAAAATCTTGAAAGATTAACATGATGCTTTTTGTATTTTTCTCTACAACTAAAAGTATTCTTTGTGGGAAGTAATTCTATTTGAACCGTAAAAAACCACTTGTTTGTTTTTCATAAATATTGATATATTTGATGCTTCATACTCGATATTAATGGCTCAATCGTGTCCAAACATTTGTGTGACAAATGTAACCTTTTTAGATAGCGTAGCTAAAATTTGGTTTTAAGGTTTTAAGATTGTGGGTGAAGTTCTGAGATAGTGCCCCTTGTTCATGCTAGGTCCGACCCAGCTGGTGGTTTTCTAGCTTCTTCGAGGATAAACCTAATGACAGTGACTTCATTCTTGGCTCATTCGGATCGCAGCTTACAGAAGCAACTTAATTGACTTTGTAGCTTGCAGCAAAATAATTCATTACATTTTTTTTATAGTTTATGATTTATGCACGGATGATATATTAATTAATTTGTTGCAGACTCCTATTTTCGCTTCGATCAATCAGTGAAAGAAGGAAAATTTTGAGTATGAACACCGAAGTCCTTACTGACATCACCTAACTTCGGTAAAGATATATACTAAGTTAATATTCTTTATTTACCTCCTCAACCACGGCACCTATTTCTCATAAAGGAAATAAAACAAAAGCATTAGGGTGGCCAGATATTGTTTTTGAGTAATGTTATATCTTTTTATCACATTCTTTTAATAACCTTTTATTGCTTTATAAAAACTATTTAATAAAAAAATATATATAATTTATATTTTTAAAGATACTAAGCACTCAATATTTTTATTTGATAAAAGAAGATTATTAAAATATGTTGTTACATGTGAATTTAGAATTATTCATATTCTTTACTTCTTGAAAGAGAAATTTCATTACTCATCCCCAGAACACTTGTCTCTCTATCTCTCCTCCTTCTAATTCTACCCAGAGGTTGAGTAAAGACACCAATCAATGAAAATTTGAAGAAACATCAATCAAATTAATTTCCACCAAACAATGCACAGTGACAAATTTTATAAAAATGCATTTAAGTGTTGAGGATTCATAGATGTTAAAAGAGATACAGACATTTAGCCCAAAAAATACAAAAATACATACGTAACTGTGTGTCACATAGCGTTGTACCAGAGTCTCAAGCTTCTTAACGTTGCCTTGAACTACCCTTTTCTTTTTACAAGTACTCCAGAAGGATCAGCAAACCGAACAGAGAAAGATCTAGAAAGATTATCCGGATCATCAAGAGCAATCCCTTGATCGAAATTTTGAGAGTAAGTGTATTGATCATAAGGAATCCGAAAGGGTGGTGCAGACTCAAAAAGTTTTTTCTTCTCTTTCTTGAACTTCATCCACAACAATTTCCACCTCAACTTAGTTGATCCAGTGGCTGATAGGGAGTTTACATGCTCAATCTCATTGTGACACCCTCCCAATCGGATGGTTCTTCTGCCAGAATTGCGCCAATTTTTGATATCCATGAATGCAATAGAAACAAAGGTTTCACCTCTTTCTGAACCCGGGAAGCGCAAAGTCACACGCTGAAGAGTGTAAATAAGCAATGTGAGTAGTGACAAAACTTTAGAATATGAACTCTTTTTATTATTATTATGTTTTTCCTTTTTTGGCTTCATTTGCCAAAGTAAAAGCTAATCAGCTAACCTCAACAGAACAAAACTATCTCATTTTAATTAAAAATTAAAAGCACCCAAACCCAGGAACTGTGCCACCAAATTTTTCTACCCTGATTATGTGGATCATATTCTACACAGTAATAACTCAGGCACGTGACGCACGTGATAGACCTGCATGTCATTGCCATGTGGAACTGTTATGTTGCAGCTTTGATATATATAATTTGCATTATTTGGTATCATGTATTTGGACTTTGAAGACTTTGTACCAGATGGATTAGCCAGATTCGCCACTGCAACTTTCTACGAGCACCGTTAAAAATTTATAATTATGACCAACATATTTCAGGTTTCTTTACGTCAGGATCTTAATTACTTAATATACATCACATTCCCACCTTTTCACTATCCAGAAAGAAAATTAAAAAGGAATTAAACCTTGGGACAGGCAAGGAATGAAGTAAAACAAGCCCAAATAAAGATGAAGAAACCAAAATCAGATTGAATTCAATTCTAATGATACTTAATCCTAGGAAGAAAATAGATTAACCAATTGTGCAAATAAAGAAAATATAATTATTTGGGATTTGTTGACAGTTGGCTAATTTATACTTGGACGTTTATTTCATCTAATTTTTCTAGTTAGATTTACAGTGTGAACTGTGGACTAGTTTATAAATTCATCAGATACCCTTAATACAAATAATTCTCTATTAAATATGATTGATTTTCAATCCTTTAAATTATTGATTCAACGTCGCTTTATTACCTTCTTTTTAACCCTTGCCGAAAAGAATAATATAAAGTCTCACAGCACAGAAAAGCAAAACCGCATCTAAAAAGAACGGATGGATGACGAAGGAAAGAAAAAGAAAAGGAAAAACGACGAGAGCTTGTATATAGAAGAAGAAGATACCCCTCTGTCTAAGAAAATGCATAGATTAAGGGGTTATGGTATATGATTACATTCTCACAGACCAGATTTTAAACCGCTAGAATGATATTCTCAAGTAAAATTAAAAAGTATATGTAATTCTCTTAATTTTAAAATTCAAATGATAAGAGAATTACATATACTTTTTAATACGTGAGTTTTTAAATGAAAAGCATAGATTAAGGAAATAGAGCAATTATCATTTAATGGTGAATATTTTATCATAAAACTGAAATTTCGAAGGGAGAGATTATTCAACAATCTGTTCTAAAAATCTGCAGAAAATCGTGACCCTCGAACAATTTATACGAGATTTGAACTTTGAAGAACGTTTTAGTTCGCATTGTGATAAAAATAATTTAAAAAAAAAAAAACGGTGTTGTCAATTTAAAACTCGATCAGATGGCAATCCGTTTTCATTCCTACGTTGTGAAAAGCAACATAAATAAAAACTCAGAACAGAAAAAAAGAACATCACTCTTCAGTGAATCAATAATGTTCAATAATATTTCATCGGAATTTTCACTAAACATGAAAATATGACGCTCTTTATATTCCTTTCTAACAATCGTCATCATATAAAAGCATCGTTATTTCGTTAATAATTACATAGCAAAAAAAAAAATCCTGATTTTTCATCTCAGCTACTAAATATATTCAGAAAATGTTCTAGAAATAATTAGAGTTAAATTAAAGTAGATTAAAAATCAATGGAACATGTATGTGATCGCCAGAGCCACCAGCAAGAGGGCGCAAGCAATTACTTGATCAATAGTATTGCCTGCATTTAAAAATAGAAAAAAAATGTTACCATTTTAACAATGAAGAAGCTCGTAAGAGGAAAAAAAGTGAAAACGGAAAGGCATGGTTTGGAGTAATGACCATCGCTTGTAAGGGAAGGTGCAGGAGAAGGAGTAACGTGTTGAGCTTGGCTTAGATTAGAGACGGCTAGGAACATCAAACTGAGAATTGAGAAGAAGAAAAATTTCAACATTTTCTGGGAAAATTGAACAACGAAAATTAAACTGAGAAGTGAGAAAGTGTGAGGTTTTTGTTTTGGAGGTTGAAAGGTTTAGAGACGTTATTTATTGGAGTGAGAGGAGATAAATACGGAACGTGGAGGAGTTAAGAAAAGAAATTTCAACGAAAGAGAGAAAAGAGATAATGAGAACTTGACTAAGATAATTCGTGTTCATAATGTTTAAAACAACTTCTATGATTTAAATTTTATACTTGTTTTTTTAATTTAATTTTTATTTTTTATTTTTTAAAATATAATTTATTATATATTTTACTTTTTTTATCTTTTTTTTCATTTATATAATATTCTTAAATGAAATGTCAAATAACTTTTTCTATCATAAAATACGTTAATCAATTGGTACAGGTTTTTTAATTTAATGTATGATATTGAGTTAAAATTTTAATAAATATAATTATATTAAATATTTTGAAAAATATTTATTGTTTATAGTGATTTTATTTGATTTAAATAAAATTACTTTTAATAAAGTATAAGTTTTTTCTATTTTAAATTATTTATTTTAATATTATAATTGATTAAACAATAGTACTATTAACGGTAATTTAATTTTCTGCCATTTTTCATCAACTCAGTTTATGATCAATTAATTGTAAATAGAGTGATGTGTAAGTGACATTATATATATATATATATTGAATTCTTCCATTTTACATCAACTCAGCTTACGGTGCACATTAATTAATTGTTAATAATTTGATGTGCAAGAGCCATGCTTTTCATGTTTTTTTAATGAATGTTTTTAATTATGTTTTTCTTAATTTTATATTATTTCTATTCTTCGATAAGATGTTTATGAAATTGGTTTTCTTTGATTGATGTTGTAATTTTTGCTTTGTTTTAATCTTTTTATCTCCATGAAATATAAAAAAAATATTAATTCATTTGTTTAAGGCATATAGTAATTATTAAGATTATTTGAAATTCAAATCATTGGCAAAAAAATTCTTGAATTCTTAAAATAGTGTTATAATATATGCTTACAAATCTCCTTACTTACTAAAATAATAAATATTGAATAATTTATATTTTTAAGATATAAAATATATTTATTTCATATTAGAATAAAAAGATTAATTGCAATATATTGTAAGAAAATATATTATTAATAAATGCTAACAAGTGACTTAAAATATTATCTGAAGAATAAAAAGTATTATTAATACAATCTTATAATTATAATATTCTTCTA